GCATATCAAATTGGCATTATTTTCAGCAAGTAGAATTAGTTCTGTCAGAACAGATAGCACCATCTGTTTATTGTCCATATGGCAGCCTACTATGCTTCTTCATGTGCTATTAGGTATTAAATGCAGTTTTTCCATTGTTTGGATTCTTTTCATCACAGTTCTATGTTGAAAATATAAACACTCTATTAGCATTGTCTGGATTTTCTTAAAAAAGAAAATAACATTTCCATTCCGTTTCTGAATGGAAGACACTGCAAAATAATCTAGACTCAAACAAAAAGCTGATTTTTAAAAAAATAAACTATTTTAAATGTTTTTCTAATCTGGTAAATTGAAATTTAGATTTAAATTATAACAATGTGCAAGAATAGTTGGTTTAGATTGTTTAAAAACATTTAATATGGATTTAAAAGAATTGTTGCAGCAAACATAGTGTTTCTTTGAATTGGAATTTTTTTGGTAGTTGGAGACTGATGGTATGATTTCCAGTCATCTGCTACCCATCAACATAAAAGTCTAATGAGGCACAGTTAGAAGGAAGAGAAAATTATCTAATCAATAATTTTGTCTGTTTATATTACTCTTTTGGCTCTGAACATGATTTGACCATATTTTTAAGAAACATGTTGGAACATGATTTTAAGAAGCAATGACGTCTGGAAAAATCCTGCAATTAGACTGTTAGTCCTAAGCCTTTTCAGATGTGTAAAGTAAAAGATGGTATAGAAAGGAAGTGTTATTTATTAAGATGCTCTTAACATAATTTTTACAGGTTTATAATTTACCCACCAATATTTTAAAAAGTAAAGTAATTGAATGTATTCAATTGTAATCTACATAATATATTCAAGTTTTAATATGTTGATAGTGAAATGAAACTACAGGTGGTTCTCATTTTACAAACCAAATTGGAGCAAGAATTCTGGCCCTAAGTGAAGTGGTTGTTGAGTGGGAAATCCTATGATTGCAACTATGATTTCCAACTGGAAAGAAATAATAATTTCATACCTTTGGATTTTGCTTTTCTCCTTAAACACTCCTCTTCCTTTAGGCATCTTTGAGTACAGAAAGACCTCGATTTACAACAGTTCTTTTAGTGACCATTTAGAGTTACAACACCAATGAAAAAAGTGACTTTTGTCTGTTTTTCACATTTGTGACTGTAGCAGCATCCCCATGGTCATGTGATCAAAATTCAGTTGCTTGGCAACTGACTCATTTATGAGGGTTGCAGTGTCCTATGGTCATGTGATCCCTTATTGCAAACTTTTGACAAATCAATAGGGAAACTAGATTTACTTAACAACCGTGTTACTGACTTAACAACTGCAATGATTCATTTAAGAATTGTGGCAAGAACGATCGTAAAATGGGGCAAAATTCACTTTAAAAGTTTCACTTAGCAACATAAATGATGGCCTCAATTGTGATCATAAGTTAAGTACTACCTGTCCTGTTTACTGCCTCAGGTTGCCGCACAACTGCATTGTTTTCAAAGTTTAGAACAGCATACTGCTTATTTCCTTCTAATCCCTTCCTATCTCATCTTCCTCCTTTGAAAAGGAAAAAAACAACCCTGCACAGATTAAGGGATGCTGCAAAAGTAGTAAATGGTCCCACCTAAAGTTATTTTTCAGCACTGTTGTAACTTTGTAATTCAACTACCTTTTGCCTTTATATCTTACTACCATTTGGCATTGTAGAAATTGAACAGAAGTAGATGTCAGAACATGACTCTAAAGGAGTAATGTGAACATTTTAGAGTGACTTGTAAAGAACATCCATTTATGGGGTGCAAAACTTATTTTTAATTTACTGAAAGGTTTTGCAATGTTTGTAATATGCATTGAGGGAAGACAATGTTATCAAAATACTAATGGCAATCATGTAATTTGAAGAAAACAAGGATTACTCTAGCTCTGGGAGAGTGGAGTTCTTGCCAGTTCAAAATGGCAGTAGTACACAGAAGATTGAAAATATCATAGAAAAAGAATCCTAGGACATAATGAAGCTAGGAATAATTTGTCTCAAAAAGTTCATTTGAGATATCTGATCATCCAATGTTCCTTTTTATAATTGGAATACAGGACAGTAGTCTAGTATTGTCTAAAAGTATTCAAGTAAAAAAATGGCCCACTATTCCTTACCCAAAAGTTATTCTGGGTAGGAACTGAACAGTAGTTGAAACTCAGCGACGTAAGGTTAGGGAAAAAAAGACTAGAAAAAAGTAGAATATTGAAATGTGGTATTATGCA